TTTAATTTTTGTATCTACAATATAATTACTTTTATTCTGTCTGTTCTTGTTTGTTGTTGGGGTATATGGGGTGTCAAGGGAAGGGTAGCACCTCTGGTGGAGGGGCCTGCTGTGCCCTTTCTAGGGCTGCTTGTTCATCTTTGGTCCCCACCTGGTGCTCAGCTCTCAGCTGTGGCTCCAAGTAGCTGTAACACACACAGCAGCCACACCCTGGTAAACTGTCTTGGCAGATAGGCCAAACCAGGTGAGGGTAGCCGATGGGTCTTCGACTCTCGGTGAGATGGGGGATTTGTCTATCCCAGCATGTGAAGTCTGGCCCTGGCAGAATGAGCAAAGGAGACTGATCAATGGTCTAACAGTCAAGAAGGCAGGCCCAGCAGGCATTGTGGAGCACTAACAGCACAACACGACACTTAGATGCCCTGGTCATCTACTGCAGCAGGAGGTCGCCAGTCATGATGGTTCTCAATGCCACTGGATTAAGTTGTCTTATGCTGAGACAGTGGGACTGCCCCTGTGCAGTGGCTGTTCCACTAAAACTCCATCATGTACAGGTTGTGCAATTCATCTTCATCTGCAACTCATCTCAGTCAAAACCTAATTCACTGAGCCCTGCGGCAATGGGGGAATGGCGAAGCAACAGGTGGAGATGACCACTGGCAGTTGTAGTCACAAACCTGCAGGTGGGTGGCCCTTGGACCAGTGGTCATTCATCTCAGTACCTGGGGCAGCAAAGATGTCTGGCAGCATCCAGGGCGACTGGGCAGCCCTTCTAGGCAGCACTGCCCACTCTCACATGAGGGAGGAGGTTAGAAAAGGTACCCTAAACATTACCTGCCCCACAAAATCTGGCTAGTTAACCGTGGCTGGCAGATCATCTCCTTAGTGGTTGAGCATCAAGAAAAAAGAATAAAAAAGCCCTCATTTTTGGAGACTGGAATGTCTACGCTTTGCTGGATAGAGACAAGGTGTCAAGGCCTGAAAGACAAACAGCACTCAAAGCAGCTGAACTTTGCCATTATTGCATTGACATTGCTGCACTCATTGAAACCAGGCTGGTAGACAAGGGTTGGTTACAGGAAGAGGTGAGCAGATATATAGATAGTCTTCGCTTAATGACCATTCGTTTAGTGACTGTTTGAAGTTATGACGGTGCTAAACGAAGGTACTTACAATCGGTCCTCATGCTTACGACTATTGCAGTGCCCCCCTGGTCACATGATCATGATTCGGGCACTTGGCAACCAGCTCGCACTTAAGACGGTTGCAGCATCTCAGGGTCACATGATTGCCATTTGAGACCTTCCCAGGCAGCTCCCAGCAAGCAAAATCAATGGGGAACTGTGTGATTTGCTTAACAACCACCACAAAAAAGTCATAAAATCAGGTGCGGTCACGTGATGTTTCGCTTAACAACTGTCCCACTTAACAATGACTTTTCCAGTCCCTATTGTGGTTTTTAACTGAGGATTACCTTATATTCTTTTGGAAAGGGAAACCATGGACTGACAACAGGACTCACAGAACAGGTTTTGCAATCAAACCTGCTCTGCTGAAGAATATCTCTACTCTACCCACTGGAATAAATTAATGCATTATGAAGTTCTGCTTTCCTCTCAGCAAGTCCCGGTATATCACCATTGTCAGTGCCTATGCACCAACTCTCATGAGTCCAGACAAAGGCAAGGAAGGTTTCTAGGAGAACCTGGACCAGGTTATTTGAATAACCTCTGCCAGCAACAAACTCGTCATTTTGGGCGACTTCAACACTAGGCTGGGGACAGGCAGCAACAGTTGGGGTGGAGTCCTTGGGAGTCATGGGGTGGCAAAATTAAATAGCAATGGCCTGCTCTTCTGAGCAAATGTGCCAAGCACAACCTGTGCTTCACTAACAAGATGTTCAGACTTGCAAACAAGTACAAAACTACCTGGGTGCATCCCAGATCCAAACACTGGCACCTCTTGACTATATCATAATATATCAGCATGACCTTAAAGATGTCACCATCACCTGAGCCATGTGAGGTGCTGAGTGCTGGACAGATCGCAGACTGGTCCAGTCAGTCCTCAACCTGAACATAGCCCCTTTGCATTGTAAGCAACCAAGGACTGTCAGAAAGTCATTCAACATCGGCAAACTGCAAGACCCAGGCCAAGTCCAGTGTTTCCAAGATGTACTTAACGAAAAGCTTTCCGGCAATTTACTGCTTGTAGGAACCTGTTCTGAAAAGTGAATGCAGTTTAAAGATGTCGTCATGCAGACTGCAACAACCATACTCAGACTGAAAACTCGGGCGCATCAAGACTGGATTGCACCAGCATTGAGTCCCTGATTATCAGAGTCCAGATGCGGTGGGTGGGACACGTCATCAGAATGGATGACCATCATATGCCTCGTCAGTTGCTCTATAGTGTACAGGAGTCTGGGAACAGACTCCGAGGTCGACCACGCAAGTGCTACAAAGACACTGTGAAAGAAACCCTACGCCACTGTGACATCCAGCCAAGGGAACTAGATGCTGTGGCTGCTGACAGAACCCACTGGCAAGCCCTGTGCTATGAAGCCTCCACCGGCTTTGAAAACAGGTGTCGCCAAAAACTGATAGAAAACTGTGAGTGGCTTCACAGAATAACACCCATAGTTACTACAACAGTGGACTTTCAGGCCCCCCCCTTGTGCTAGACTCTGAGCTTCCAGACTGGGACTGCAGAGCCAACTTTGTGTCCACAGATGAACTGCACAACAGTGTGTCTTCTTCGAATCTACCATGTATGTTGTTTGCTGCCCAGAGTCACTTGTTGAGATGGGTGGCTTTACACACTGATTAAATAAATAACTGTCTCTTGATTTTGACACAATCCTGCAGCTGAGGACTACATTTTCTTCTTTTGCAGTTACAGCACTCTGTTGGCTCATGTTCTATTTGTGATCCACCCAGATCCATTTTCCAAGTGCTGCTATCCCATATGGTCTTCCCCGCCCTATCCTCGTGCCTTTAATTTCCTTTAGTGCCCAAATGAAGAACTTCACATTTATTCCTATTGAAATTCATCTTGGCAGTTTGTGCCCATTGTTCTAACTTGCCAAAATCTTTCTGAATCTTGATACTGTCTTTTAGGATGCCTGCTATCCACTCTATTTTTATACTGCCCACAGATTGGATAATCATATTTTCTATCATTTATAAATACGTTGAACGGCACAAGGCCACTTGGCAATTCTGTCCAGCTTAATGAGGATCCCTTAACTGTTAGTAATTATGCATATTTTATATGAATATAGATACATGATCTCTCCACCCACCAACTTTGGAGGTTCCCAAGGAGCTGAGCTGAAGCTTCAGGAATGGCAACATTGCTATTCCTTGAGGATCCGAATCAGTTCCATCCTCTGTATGTCGAGTTGGTGCTTAAACAGAACATGATTCTAGTCCATGTGAATAAATCTAACCGGATGGGCATTGAAGCTACTATCCTTTAGCCTGAGACTAAGGTTACTGAACTTGTAGTAAGGGATGAGCAGGCAGTAGATCAGAAATCTACATTTCTTTTGCCAATTTTCAGTAAATCAGTAAATATTCTGGCCTCCCAGTTACCATAACTATCAGGTAAATTCTGTTTCAAAACAAGCTTGACTTATACAGTAGTGACGTCATGGCACATCCAAGTAGTTTTCTTGGCAACTTCTTTTCTTCTTCTCCCACTTGTAACCCAGGTCTCTGGGTTGTAACCCACGTCTGAATGGTCTCCCACTTGTACAACCCACTTGTAACCCACGTCTGAGTGGTCTCCCATTCAGACAGCATTTGACTTTTCTGCAAGACTGATTAGGTGCTGCTATTTAGGCAGGACCACAATAAAGTACCTCTTCTTAAATTTATACCACTGAAATGAGGATGTTTAGGATGAACTAAAAGTGGATTTCCGTTTAGAAAGGGTGGGATCTCCGTTCACTTTTGGTATAAAAAAAAAAAAATCCTACTGAAGCTTGAACTAGCCTACTACCTAAATTTAACCTGTTTCTGTGGGTTCCTCTTCGTGATAGGCGAGACTTTATAAGCTCAAGCAAATCGTGTGGATGCTCAGTGATAGACGGCCGAGTTGACCTGTAAACTTGCTTAATGGTAAGGCAAGCTGATAGACCAAGTCGGACCAATAGAGAATGGCGGCATTATGGCGGGAGATTCCAAATGGCGGGATCTACAGTAATGGGCAGCGAGGCTCGGTCAGTGGAACTCCCACTCTCAAAACTATTACTACGTCAAGGTTAGGCGAACGTTACTCTTTATCAACCAGGGCGGGCAGCTCCAATAGGAACTGAAGAAAGGGGACGATTGGTCCTAAGTCCATTGAACTGTCCAATGAGCTCTGGGGGCGTGCCTTACTCATTGATAAGCATTGCACTTGACCAATGAAGATAAGGGGCGGGGCAGCTCCTAAGAGGGGGCGGTTACATTCATTTGACATTCAATTATCCAATAGGAAAATACTGCTCCAGCCTAATGTGTGCAGTAGGCACACTGCAGGCAGGACGCTGTTCCAAAAAAGGCGCGACTGGAGAAGAAACACTAAGCAATTTGACAGGCGGCAAATTTGTCCAATCGGGCGCGTAGGCTTGGGGCCGCGTCCTCATTCGACTTCGGAAGGCGGGTTGAAGATTAATGGACACCGGCATCGTCGAATAAACTGTGGCCACTCCCCTTCCCTTATATGAGCAGAGATAGGAATCAGCGGCAACATGCATCTACTCTATCGAATAACAGGCCGAGACTCCCCTTTCCAAAGGAAGTCTTTCTTCGCCAATCAGCCCCGAGCACGCGGGTGGGAGGTCCGGGAGGCCGTCTTTGCTTCGGGGGCACAATGGAGGCACAACGGGAAGAAGGTGGGGCCGCCTGTGATTGACGGCTGAGCTTGGCCAACGGCACGCCGTAGCCACGGGGCCGGGAAAGTGACAGGCTTTCGGAAGGGCGAATCGCGCGGGGGGACGGGTGGGCGCGCGCTCGTTGTGAGGCGGGTGAACCAACAGCGGAGAATAAGAAACGGAGCGCCCGTGCGGGTCTGAGTGTAAGAGAAAGGAAGAAAGGGAACGGGGGGAAGGAGGAGGGGGGGTGGAGGCAAAGCGAAGGAGGGTTTGTGGAGGCAAAGTCCGTTGGGAACGCCGGCGCGCGTGGAGGAGGGGGAGGAGAAGGACGGGGGCTCTCTCGCGCGCGGCGATCAGACCAAGGCGGTGCGCGTGGGATCCGGCGAGGAAAGGGGAGGGTTTCAGAGGGAGGGGACGTCTCCTCGGGTCGCGTGAGGGTTGCGCGAGGCTGGGGCCGAAGTGGGCGCCTGAGCCTTCGCCTGTCAGTCAGTCAGTTCCCCTCCGTGGGGAAGATATCAAGAAACCCCCTTTCCGCTCTTTCCGCCCGCATTTCGTTTTCTCTTCCAGTCCAAATCCTGATCTAACAAAGCCCCATTTCCTCTCAGAGGTGTCAGAGCCCCCTTTTCCCTCTCGCTCCTCTACTGTTTCATCATAAATAGCCTCTACGAATGAGAAAAGCCCCTTTTGCTCATGCTCCCCCTCAAAACCAGGTTGTCATTCTCTGCCTGCCCTTGCCATGAAGGGTGCATCCCCCCCCCTTCGTGCTCTGTAATCGGCTTTCTGCAAATAAACACGCGTTTACACTTAGACTAGCCTACCTAACTCGGTGTATTCCAGACATACTGAACGTCCCATAATTTTTAGGCAGCATTCCCAATGGGATTAAAAGAGTTTTTGCTTCAAGGCATCTGCAGGACACTAGGCTGGAAAGTCTGATTAGACTTAGTCGCCAGTTAAATTCTTCTTTTTCAAATCTGTCACATGGTCAGATCTCGCTTTCTCTCACCTCTTCACTTTGTGCTCTCCTAGTTCTGTGTTAAAGCATCTTCCCTTTATAGAAGTGGTCCAGAAATTTCCTTTCCTCAACTATGTTGCACTGAGCACCGGAATCCAGCATGGTAGTACATTTGAGGCTCTTGCCCATTATTGCACACACTGTCTCACACACTGCTGCTATATATAAAGTTTCTATATGGTGCAGGTCGCTGACTTTTAAAACTGTTACATTAAAAATAAGTGACTGTGCAGATTCTTCAAGATGTCTGATGTAGTAGGTGGTTAGGACATTTATAGAACACTTTAATGTTAAAGCTGCTATTGCACTGATTTTGGTCTTTAGTATTATGCCCCCCCCCAATGAAGAATGAAATTAAAGATAAATATGAGCAAAGAAAATTGTATTAGACCTTCACTGATGAATGAGGCAGGATCTTTATCACAGCAATCTGGCATGGGAAGCTGTTTGAAGAATGGGAGTAAACTTTGTACCATTTGTTTCATATTCAGAATGTTCTTGTTTACTAGCATTTATTTCTAGAGCTTTTTGATATGTACACAATTATCACTGTATTTGGTTTCCACTCCTTCTGCAAAGGACTCAGGTATATGAAATCATAATGTTTTTCCCCTCATAGCATCCTGGGATGTTCATTTTCATCCAGTAAACTTATGGTAGTGCATCTTGCTTATTTCATAAACAAAACTAATAATGTGAAGGTACTGTAAAGGAGAGATATCTCAGTAATGTTGTTCATACAGTGCCAGCAGCCATAATGTGGTTTGCTTGTTTGCTGCTTAGTGTGATGTATGAATGGAACCAATTATCATTTACCCAATAAACCCTGGTTAGATTGATGGTAGAGTGATATACAAGCTAGATCAGAGGATTTTGGTTTGAAACAACTTTGAAAAATAGGCTGACACAATTATATACTGGTAAATAGCAAGCATACAGTCTCTTGACTCTTTGTGTTCTTTGCCCCAAACTGATGCCTTCCCAATGTGCAGTAGGGTGGGCAAAGTTTGGTGGCATAGAGCTGCATTTAACACACTGGGGGAATCCAAGAGCATGATGAACAGAACAATGATGCAAATTGTGTGTATTCATTTTTCCTTGGTTTTTGAAGATGTATTTTTGTTTTTTTAAACTATGTTAAGCTTACTGTAGGATATGCGATACAGTTTTCAAGCTCTGTATCTCAAAACAGTAACAAATATTTCTACAAATTTTCAGCAGTTATAGTCAGAAGAATCTTGGGGCTATAGTTTGTCCTCATTCTACCAATTTTAGTCCAATACAACTGAAAAGTGCCAGGTTAGGAAATGCTGCTTTATCTACTCATATAAAAGCTAATTTATTTAAAAACATAAAATGCTCCTATAACCATTCCCAAGAAATTAATGTAATTACAGAAATTCTGCCATCCTGAGTTAATTAACTGCCATTTTCCTCCTCTGGCAGTGCTGGGAATTAGGAGAAGAAAAGTAAGAAACTGCTAGCCTGTTATAATTCAGAAAACAAAAGCCAGGAAATTCTCTGGCCCAGACTATGAAACAGGAATTTGCATGGAAATAGACTTGCATTCCTTACAAATAAATTACTGCAATCTTTAATTTGACACCCTGTCTCTTCTGAAGAACACCTTACAGACAAGCTTAACACTGTATGTGAAAAAGAAGTATAACTTTTCAACAACTCTACCTTAAGATAGAGATAGTCATGTAGAAAGAGGAGAATCTGCTCCGTTCACTTTGGCACAGTGGATTTACAGTACTTTGCACATCTGCTGTACAAATGAAAAAATTGCATATGAGTAATTCAAACAAAGAATTTTAATGTAAGATGTGGAACTGAAGTAAGTTTGGATAACTTGTTAAGACTATTCAATTTTTCTGGCATTCAGGCCCCAATTTCCTGATTTTTCAAGGAAAGGAGTTTATGTTTTATGCCATCTATGTGCTGTATCCTTTTATGGTTTCATACAGCATAATTGAAGCATGGACTAATCACATAGATTGGATCTGTCCGACATACTAGGTTAAAAATATCTTGTTTGTGGTTCAGTGTGTCATATTAAACCACAGAATTGGGCTGAGTAAATTGTGGTTCAGTTAACCATGGGTATGCATATCAGGTGAGCATAGCTACGCTCTCACTTCAAATTATTACTTTGGCCTTCTTAGCCATATGGTCTCAGCAGGAGGCAGCACCTGGCTGGGCTTGGAAGCTGGTTAGTATTTGAATGAAAACCATAGCTATGGGCTAGTATGAGAAGTTGCAAAAATATCCAGGAAGAAGGCAGCAGCAAATCACTTCTGTATATTGCTGCCAAGAAAACCACATTAACTGATTGATCTGCATTTCTGTCTTGCTGCAATCCAATAAGACTTTTAAGTAAGTTCATGAAGTTACTACAACTGCTCAGGGAGCTGGTTGATTAGAGACAAAGGGATGACAAGAATGTCGACTTGATATCCCAGTAGTATAGCTTCCACGATATTAAGAGTCATGGGGCCTCCTAACTCAGCAATTGATGTTCTCTTGAAAAAGCCTCAAGGTCCTGTTTTCACAACAATATTTATATTCATCTGGAATATAAATTGCTTTGATTTAGTTAGAAGCCAACTGGGCAAGTCCATTACAGGAAATAGGGGTCTCCTTGCAAGATTATCTGGGATGAGTTTGAGTCTGTTGGTTCTGAGGAAATGGGCAAAGTGCTTAGCTCTGCCACTTGTTGATTGGATCCCTGCCTTTCCTGGTTGGTGAAGGCTCCCAAGGAGGTGACAAAAGACTGGGTCAGAGGAGTAATGAATGCATCCTTGAGAGAGGGGCTGGTTCTGCCTGCCCTGAAAGAGGTGTTGATATATCACCTACTCAGGAAGCTGTAACATTTCCATTGGATAGATTAGCAGCCATATGGATTGAATAAATATTCAACTGGTTTTGAGGAATGACTGACCACTTTCTAATCTTCCCTTTTTGGGGAAGGTTGTGCAGAAATAAAGTAGATTATCTATACCCTCTTCAGTCAGGATTCAGACTTTGTCATGGAATGTTCAGGCTGGAAGAGGACCTGGTTGGAGGTGGCTGGAGAACCTGTTTGGGCTGCCGGAGCAGGCTGGGGATTTGTTGTGCCGGCAGTGCCTGCTGCATTTGCCTGCTGTGCCTGCCACGTTTGCTGTGCTTGAGGACTTTGCGGCCGTGCCTGTGGACTTTGTGGCAGTTTTGTGCTGTACAGTTTTTTTTTTTTTTGCTGCAGACATCTCTGCCCCCATAGACATCTCTCCCCCCATGGACTTTTGGTGGAGGACAGGGCGATTCCTGCGGCTGGTTGGCGATGCTGAGGGACTCCAATCACATTTTGATGGTGGAGGCCCTCTGCCCACCGCGACACTGTGTGACCCTGACAGCTTTCCATCTGAGACGACTCTGGGACATTGGAGGAGTTGGCAGTGGCTAGGCGGGGAGAGAATAATAGTAGAGTGGCAGACTATTGTGGATTCTCCCTCCCCGTGGAGGCCATTTTGCCTTCCCTTCTGCCAGTTCCGGAGAGGAAAAATTCGACTACTGACCACTTTGGCGTGGATTCCATCTACTGGTTAAGTTGCCTATGACTGTGGACTGAGGGTTTCCTACTGTAGTCTGATTCTCCCCTCTGGGCAAGAGCCAGAGGAGGAGATTGGTGGGAATGGGGGTAAATGGACAGGAGCCCTTGACCAGTTGGTGAGAGCAGCAAGGGAGGGGCCTCTCTGAGTGGGAGTGTTGTGAGTGTATTTGTGGGTAGAGTGGGGAGGTGGTCGCTCGGTACCCTGATGGCGCTGAGAGCTAGTGAAGCTAAAGTGCCTCAGGGTTCCTGGCTTCCCCTCCCTGGGATGCATGGAGTGGAGGACAGTGGGAGGTCCCCGGCTTTGGGAATTGGAGGGCCTGGACTGGGGGATGGTGCTGCCTTTGGGGGGGTAGGGGTGGGCCAAAGTATTATGGAGGTGATGGGCATGGGGAGATATGGTGGGAGACAGGGAGCAGGCTGTTCTCGGGGAACGTGGGGCCGTTGTCCTATACCAATTTCTTGTTCCAGCTCCCTGGTCTCAGCTTCTGTACCCAGTCAGTAGACCTTCAGAGGCCCTGGCTTTCAGCTGCTGCTTCTAAGTGCCAGGTCGATCTGTAATAAGGTCTCTCTCATCTGTGATGTAATCAGTGAGAGGGCCAACCTGGCATGTATTACGGAGACATGACTGGGCCCAGAAGGGGGAGGGTAGCCCTTTCGGAGACATACCCAACTGGATTTTCAGTGAGGCATCAGCCGAGACCCCGGGGCAGGGGTGGAGGTATGGCGATTGTCATCCAGGAATCTCTTACAGCTTTCAGGGGCACTGCACCACAGGCTACTGGATGTGAGACCCTGTTCATTAAGTTGGGCTCTAGGGATCATTTGGGATTGTTGCTTTGTACCGGCCTCCCTGCTGCACAGCAACCTCCCTGCCTGAGCTCCTTGACTTCATTTCTGGGTTGGCAGGGGAGTTCCCCAGACTTATGGTCTTGGGGAACTTCAATCTGCCTTCTCTAGGAGTGGTGGCTGAGGCAGCTCAGGAGTTCATGGCCACCATGATGGCCATGGGCCTATCCCAGATCATCCAGAGCCTGACACGGGACAGTGGTAACACACTGGATCTGGTGTTCCTGTTGGAGCAGTGGCAGTGTGATCTGAAATTGGGGGAGCTCTTGATATCTCCCTTGTCATGGTCAGATCATGCACTGATTACCATGGGATTCTCTAGTGTCACTATCCACTGCAGGGAGGCTGTACCCATTAGATTGGTCTGCCCCTGGCGACTGATGGATCCGGATGGGTTTCAGAGAGAGTTGGGGCTGTTCCTGCTGGTCTGTGGCATGATTCATTTGAAGACTTGGTTACTGCTTGGAATAGGGGGGTGGCTGAGGCTTTGGATCGGATCATGCCCATGCAACCTCCCCTTTCATGGATCCCGCCACTCCCTGTGGTTCATGGAGGAGTTGAGGGAGATGAAACAAAAGAAGAGACATCTACAGCGTTCTTTGAATGCGTGAGTACCTTTACCTCTTAAAGAGGGCTTGGTTCACCCCCTCCTCAAGAAGCCATTGCTGGACTCCACTATATGGACAGTTTTTGAGGAATGTGGTTGCACAGCAGCTTCAGAGGACCTTGGATGAAGTAGATTATCTGGATTCCTTTCAGTCAGGATTCAGGCCCGGATATGGGATGGAAACGGCATTGGTCGCACTTTTGGATGATCTCTGGCGAGGGTGGGATGGGGGGTTGTGGATCCATCCTCATCCTACTTGACCTCTCTGCAGCTTTCAGTACCATTGACCATGGTATCCTTCTGGATTGGCTCAGGATTGGGGGTGGGCAGCAGTGTTTTTCTGGTTCGCCTCCTTTCTCCGGGGTCGATTCCAGTCAGTGATGATTAGGTGCTGCAGGGTTAGGTGCTCTCTCCACTCCTATCTAACATCTACATGAGACTGCTGAGTGAGCTCATCCATTGCCATGGGGTGAGGTATCATCAATATGCTGATGATACTCAATTATATATTTCTGCCCCCACGGATGTCTTATCCTGGTGCCTGGAGGCTGTGAGGGTCTGGATGGGGAACAACAGGCTTCAA